TGGGGTGCCACATTGGCTCAATCCTGAAAAGTATAGCTATTCAACTCAGCCAAGGCAGCAATCCTCCTTGAAATAGAACATGGCTTCAGCTTTGGGGCCAGGAGGCAAACATGACTGCTCAGAGTGGACAAGGCACCAATTTCCCAGGAGGCAGGATCCAATAGCAACTGGAATGGGCAGTATACAGCAGCTTGACCCCGTACATTAGGGTGTCTTAGTAGCCCAGGGGTCATGGGCTATCAGGCATGGTAGCACTGGGTTGACAAATCCTCAGGGATGGAAGCATGCAACAGATACTTACCCTTGGAGCAGTACACACTTTGGTAGTAGTTCTGGTTCCAAGATGGTGCAGAACAGTAGCAGCACAGGCCACAGGGGCCAGACACAACATTGTCTCCTTCTCTGAAGGAAGCTCCTTCGTGCAGACTCCAGACAGCTCCCATAGCAAGTTTAAGCTTTGGTAAGTGCTTTGGAGCTACTTCTTGGTCTAGCCACTGAACTGGTCATCATTGTTTGTTTTCCCACATCACAATCCAATTGAGAAATGGCTTGTTGTCACTGCATATAAGAGAAGATGACACTTCAGAATAACGATTTGTAACATTTTTGGTCAGTTCATGAGAGACCCACTTATTGAGCTTTTTTACCTTAGCAATTTACTTCAAATGCTGAATGACCATAGAAAGGTTACCTTTGAGTTTTTCGGCAATTTCTCATGCAGTTGTAAGAGGATCAGTGGTCAATTGGTCTTTGTCAACTTTTGATGGCTGGCCTCTATGCTCCTTATGTTCAAAGCTCTCATCTCCTTTGAAAAACTTCTTGAACCACTACTCTACAGTACATTCATTAACAGTTACTGGGCCAATGCATTGTTGATGTTGTGACACATTTTGAACTCTAATAAGAAAATTGCTTGAATTTGCTTTTTTTTTTTTTAACATCATCTTCATAGTCTAAAATACATGGAAAATAAACAGCAAGTATTAAGTCATTAACAAAAAAGCATACAGAGATAAATGAGAAATGCATATATAAGATTGTATCTAGTATCAAGTGGCATATTTCAATAATGCAAAATCACGATTACTTTTGCACTAATCTAATATGTTCCTTCCTGTTTTGCCTAGAGTTGTGGATGTCCATTGAGACAGTAAATGGATAAATGAATATTTGATGTGTGATTGAACCCTAATTGCTGACATCCAGTAGACACTAGTATTATTGATCTTGTAGACAAATCAATCTGTTGAGAAGATTTTATGCAGAAGTGTTTTTACTTGTTTCCTGGGGAGGGGGGGAGTTGTTGTGTGTGTGCGGTTTTTTTGTTTTGTTTTGTGTTTTGTTTTTTGTTTTTGAGAGTTTTTGCTATAGGGTGCATGTGCTCGCCAAAAAGACAGAGACAGACAGAGAGACAGAAAACGAGAAATCACCCCCCGGGAGGATGGCCACACCGCAATCCCTTCTCCTCCATTCTCCTCTTGGGATCTTGGGCACTCACGCACACGTGCGTGCATGTGTTCAAGCCACTGGGTCCGGGACTTGAACTGTGGCTGACTACATAGGAGTCCAGCGACATAGCCATTACGCCAACTGCTGGTCCCTTGTTTGCTGGTTTTAAGTTTATTTATTTCATGATTGAGTGAGAAAGATATGACCATGACAAGGTCTTGATGCTATAATCTGCGCACTATCAGCCTGCATCATGAGCACACACATGTCCAGCATATTCAGGGATATCTCCAGTGCAAATCAGCAACCTTCCCTTGTGGGTCAGCCTCACAGAACATTGTGTTTTACCATTGCACTACCACCCAGCCCCTGTGCAAATGTTTTAAATGCTCACTGGTCATTTTAAATATGTTGGTCTTTTATTTTTCTTTTCAGCCGATCCTGAGGCAAAAGAAACATTTTAATTCGTTGCACATTCCAAAAGCCTTGCAGAAGGCCCTGCCATTTAAGAACAAACCCAAGATCCAGGCAAAAGCAGGCAAGATCCCAAAGGACAGGCGGAGACCAGCTGTCATACGAGAGCCTCATGAAAGAAAGGTACTGTCACCAGATGGCTTACTGTGCGCTAGGTTTAGATATGAAAACAGCACCCTCAGGCACATACTTGGCAGTCTCAGTTTTCATCAGGAAAGGATGAAGGGGCAGAATCCACTTCCTTCCTTTGTTTAGTCCTGCTCTGCCTTAAGCATTAAATGGGAGCAATATGCACACAGCCAGCGAACCAGTCTTTGTGCCTAGTGTCCTCAGAGTGGTTAACAGAGGTGCTTTTGTGGTAAAGGTAAATATGCTCACACTATGCCAGTTGTGATTTCCTAGGTTAATGCTTATTTGGAGCATAGATAAACTCTAGTTTCAAAACACCAGTCAAGGTTTTAGGCCCCTGAAAATGTAAAGTGCAGGCATGCTGTAACTGTGAAGATATTCTGATGCTCACTGAGTTTTGTCCTTGTCAGATCCTTGCACTGCTGGATGCTCTGAGTACAGTGCACAGTCAGAAGATGAAGAAGGCCAAGGAGCAGCGGCATTTGCAGAATAAAGAACACTTCAAAATGAAGCAGAAGGAGGAGGAGGAAAAGCTAAAGCGACAAAAGGACCTCAGGAAGAAGCTCTTCCGCATTCAAGGTCAAAAGGAAAAGCGAAATCAGAAGTCCAGTCTGAAGGGGGCTGAAGAACAGTTGAAATGAGTCTTCAGGGTGGAAGGACTCCTTTAGATTTGCAGATATGGATGCTTTCAAATATCATAGTGCTTGTAAATTGCAAGTCAGGACAGAACCCAAGAGAGACCTTTGTTAGAAACTTCACCCACATTGCCTTCAGAACAAATGGACATGACCATACTAGCAGGATACGTATTCATTTTCAGAATCTAGTGATGTAGAGGCTTAAACTGATATAATTTATTGTCATGTGGATTCTCTCACTCTCTTTTTCCCTGCCTCATTTGAAGTATTTCTGTGACAAAAATATTAAACTATTTTTCTGTTAATTTTGGCTTAGTAGTTTTCATTACGGATGAATGCCTGACTTTTGATGGTGGATAATTGCTTATTCTCCTACTTTCATCATGAGTCTTCCAGAAGGAAAAACATATTAACTTGAACCATTAGCTTTAAAGAAGAGTATTTGTTTTATATTTTTGTCTGTTGTATTCTTTGACCACTGATCCTAATGGGCATTTTTATATCTTTTTTTTTTTTTTTTTTTTTTAGTTTTTGCCATAGGGCACGTGTGCTCACTGGAGACAGAGATTGAGAGAGAAAGTGAGAAATCACCTCCTGGGGGTTGGCCGCCACAACACGGCCAGGGGTGATGGCCATACCGCAATCCCTTCTCCTCCCTTCTCCTCTTGGGATCTTGGGCACGCATGTACGCACACGCACCCGGTGTGAGTTTAAGCCACCGGGTCCGGGACTCAAACCACAGTCAACTACATGGGAGTCCAGCGACATGGCCATTATGTTAACTGCTGGTCCCAGCATTTTATATCTTGTTTTATATATTTTGCATCCTCATAATAGCTAGAAAACAATAAATATCATTTTTAAGGCTTTAGAGTAGGAGATTATTATCTCAGGACTAGAGAACAAGGAAATGGTATTCATTAGTGAGAGAAGTTCCTTGTATTGTGCTCAGGTATTACATCTGCTTGTATTTGTTGCCTTTTTAAAATTGACCTTTGGGAACCAGCAGTTAGCGTAATGGCTATGTCGCTGAACTCCCACGTAGTCAACCGCAGTTCACGTCCCAGACCCCGTGGCTTAAAACTCACGCCAGGTGTGTGTGTGTGCATGCCCAAGATCCCGAGAGGAGAATGGAGGAGAAGGGATTGCGGCGTGACCATCTCCCCTGGGGGGTGATTTCTCGCTTTCTGTCTCTCTGTCTCTGTCTGTCTGTCTGGTGAGCGCACGCGCCCTATAGCGAAAAAACCTCTCCAAAAAAAAAAAAAATTGACCTTTTCATTGATATAATCATACATGTATATGCCACTTCTGTATATACTTTTATATAAGATATATAGATTATATGTTGATACTGTGTGTGTGTGTGTGAGAGAGAGAAAGAAAATATGAAACACTTCACAGGTTTGTATGTCATCTTTACAGGGCCATGCAAACCTTCTCTGTCTTGTTCCAATTTTAGTATGGGTACTGCAGATGGATCCCATGTTGCCTTTTTTTCCCCCTCTCTTTGCTACAGGGCACATGCACTCACCAGAGCGAGACAGGGTTGGGGGAGCGAGAAAGCATCCCCCATGGCCACACTGCAATCCCTTTTCCTCCATTTGTCCTTTTGGGATTTTGGGTACATACCTGGCATGTTTTTCTAGTCGCCACATTCAATACTCAGGCTATGTAGTCATCCATGTGGTATCTAGCCAACTTAATCTCCACACCACTGGCTGGCCCGCATGTTGCTTTTTAAAACATATAGGATGAAGAAAATTTGCCTAGAGCCAATCACTGAGTTTCTTGGCAGGATTATGAATAATTAAATATAAAGCCTATAACCAAACATCAATCCATCCATCTATCTTATTACCACTAGTGGAGTGGGTAAGTGTTCAGTCTTTGTCTTCTTTTTTTTTGGAGAGATTTTTGTTATAGGGCGCATGTGCTCGCCAGACAGAGAGAAACAGAGAAACAGAAAGGGAGAAATCACTCCCAGGGGGGATGGGCACGCACGCATGCATACACGCGCTGTGTTGAGTTTTAAGCCACCGGGTCCGGGACACGAACCACAGTCGACTACATGGGAGTCCAGCAACATAGCCATTACGCTAACTGCTGGTCCCCAGTCTTTGTCTTAAGAAGTAATGTGGTAGTCCTACCAGGGCCAACTCTACCTGAGAAGTGACAGCTGGCAACATGCCCAGACCTTTTTGAAGATAGCTGTTGTAAATTTTCCTCTATTCCTCAAGAGTTAGAAATATCAGCATCCAATATGCTGATTTGTCTAGGGACTAACACATAATAAACCAATAAAAGATAAAGTAATTTAAAACTAGTTTCTGTTATGTTATATAGCAAATTGATACACTTTAGAATATGAAAACATAATTCAACTAAAAATGTACAAAGTACTCTTAAGTTATACCATGTTTTGCAATTAAGTAGCTTAGAAAATATTCAGAGTAAATGAAACCTGATTTTAACAGTGTCTTATACAGGAGACTGCAGTTCGAGTCCTGGACCTGGCAGCTTGCCTTCTCACGGTCCCTCTCACTCTGTCCCTCTCTGGTCAAATTAAAATAAAGTTAACATAATTCTTTAAAAAAGTGTCTTATACAATTAAGTTTGTTCAAAGAAAAAGTGTTGCAAATGATACAATATATATTGTTGTGTAGTCTCATATTTTAGCTGAATGAGTGAAATTCTTTAGCAGTGGGGAAAAAAACAAATGTTTAAGCACAGTCACAAACAAATAAATTACATTTATAATGTTATATTAAAAATCTTAAAATTTGGAGAACAAGGGAATTGAAGTTTGCACATCAAGATTATGTAACTCTGGGCTGGCAGGTGGCATGGTTGTTAAAGGTGCCAGATTCCCACATGGCCAACCACAGTTTGAGTCCCAGACCTGGTAGCTTGCTTTCTCGCTTTCCCTTTCTTATCTCTCTGCCAAATTAGAAAATATTAATAATGACAAATGGAATTAAATAAATAATTCTTTCTGGGGGAAAAAGATTATGTAACACTAAGGTTAAGGAATCTGATTAACAGGGTTTTTTTGTTTTGTTTTTCTTACGTAGAATTTTTACTGGTTAAGGCCCTAGCTAGCCAGGCTATTAAAATATAGGGATGCAGAGGACAACTGAAGATCTTCCCAGACTTTTCCTTCCTGCCCCCCAGATCTAGCCAGGACAAGCCAATCACCAGCCATTGATATCTGAGTTGTGAGTGGCCCCTTACAGGGATTAGGACAACTGAAGATCTTCTGCTCAGACTTTATACTCCTGCCTCCCAGATCTAACCAGGTTAGATCACCCTCTTTATTCTCTCTGTCTCCCTCTCTCTCCACTTTTATTTTTTTTAATAATTATTTTAACTTTATTTACATATTTTTAAATTTGACCAGAGAGGGAGAGTGAGAGCAAGAAAGAGAGGGAAAATGAAAAAGCAAGCCACCAGGTCCAGGACTTGAACTGTGGTCAGCCCGGTAGGAGTCCAGCACCCTTAACCACCATGCCACCTGCCAGCCCCCCTCTCTCTATTTTTAATTTTTTAAAAAGCTTCTTAGCACTCTGAAGCTCTTTTATCTTGCTAATTCTTACCTCTCCCCCCACCCACATAGAACAAGCCATCTATATCTGAGTTCTGAGCAGTAGCACGCCATGTGGTTTTCTTATTTTGCTTAATTTTTTTTCTATTTTTTGTTTTTATTCTCTTTTCTTTGTTTTCCTTTTACCTTTCTCACTTCTCTGCTCAACCTCCACGCACTGAGTTTCTAGACAGGTCTAGATGCACAGTAGCCAAATATCTGAATACTTTTAGGGACAGATTGATTCTCAATTTCCATGGAATCTGCCGCACAAAGGGAGAAAACTGATACTGCTTAGAGAGTACAGATCACCTCCTGCATGCCTCTGAATGCTCAGATTTAACTCCAAAAACCAGGAAAACAAGTTATTCTCTTCGCGTAAGGAAA